TATCTCCTAGCTCTAGTACTGCTGTGAAGTATGCCTTCTTCCCTTGGTTTACAACACCTGCTTTAATAGATTTAGGCACATCTGAAAAGGATTATAAATGCAACACAAGATTACCCAGAGCCTATACCTCTGGTTCCACTCACCAACCTGCAACATAGATGGTAGCAGTCATGTTACACTCATCATTCCCAACTAAAGTGATACAAGTGACATTTGTTCCATTTCTCACGCCAGACATTGGCACTGTTAGAGTTGATGTCATGTTTGCAAAATTCTCATCAATTCTATCGAAATGTACAAGAGTTGAGTGGAGCATATTGTCGGTACTATTCATTGTAAGCAGTCCTGGTTCAGCCATTAGTTGTGATGCAACATAAGTCAGATCACCACCTCTCGTTGTATAAGGTTCCACCTCCCATTTAATGACAGACACCTGGCTGTCACTACATGTGAATATTGCAGATTCATTGGGACAGGAATGAAAAGACAGTGGTTTCAGAGCTGGCTCTCCAGTACATAATCGCCTTGTGTAGATAGCAGATAGAACACCGTCCAGTATCTGACCCTGCAACAAGAGTCCAATGAATAGGACATGGTAACCGATATTTCTCTGTCGCATTTGGCTGGATTTCTTCTACTAGAACCTTTGCTTACACCAAACTTCGATTATCTGAGAGTAAAAATGTTCCGTTTGGCCGAGAAAACCCTCCCGGGCGGAGCCCGCACCTCAACTATGTAAAAGGAGGTGGAGTCATCATCGACGCGCCTAACATAGTTGCGAACTTTTCCTGAGGACGATCCGGGACATCGCGACCCCGCCCCGTTATAAGTGGGCCACGCCCACTTATTACGTAATATAACGCGCGCGTGATAACCTTGTGCGCTCGCGTATGCTCGAAGCTCCTCGTGCTGACACTATAATAATATAGCATTGCATAGCCTCGCACGGAGAGCCAAAGGCTAGCTAGCTCAGTAAACTTACCAAGAAACTGTTACTAAAGGTACTGTTTGAGATCTGAAGAGGTCATCTTACGCAAGTGGAAGCGCTGGCTAGCCAGAAAATTCCGGGACATTTTGCTCTTTTGCTTCGCCCGGGAGAAACCCCATTTTCCTGGACTGTCCTGGACTGTCCCGGCCATTCCGGGACAGTTGTCAACTATGGCCTAAAGTCACGCCGCTTTGCGCTACGGGTGAAGCCACGCCGCTTGCACACCCTTTCATTTTACCAAGTGCTAGTAGCTATAGTCACTGGTTGACACTACCATATCCGTGTATGCACAGGTGTGCACGGTCATCAAGTGATCGTTTGTTTGCTGCCGTAAGTCACAACCGTCGATCCTATCGTAACATTGCGTATAGTTTGACATTTATTAATGCGGGGGTGTGCGTGTGTACTACACGCCGTCAAAGAGTCTCAGTCTAGGTTTATGCCAGTGCCAAGGACTCACCACAGTGTATATACCGAGAGTCACTTTGACTCAGAATCCTACCCACAGCCGGCGCCAGAGAAAGAGTGTATGGGAAGATTCTCCAGAATGATCTTACAATGCTGTCTGAGTGGTGTAGCTACCACCTGGAGCATGTGACTGAATGAGGAAAAGTGTTCCACTGCCCATTTTACTAGTTAACCCTCAGCGCGCATGCGCAGCGAGGGTTACTGTAGTCGTTCTGTGTGTCTGTCTGTCTGTTACTCTACATCTCACTTCACGGGTGTTCGTTCGTCTCACATCACCATCAACCTCCCATTTCATGATAGACACTTAGCTGTCACTACATGTGAATGTTGCGGATTCATTGGGACAGGAAAGAAAAGACAGCGGTTGCAGAGCTGGCTCTCCAGTACATAATCGCCTTATGTAGATGGCAGATAGAGCATTGTCCAATATCTCACCTCGAAACAAGAGTCCAATCAATAGGAAATGGTAACGGGCTATTTCTCTGTCGCATTTGGCCGTATTTCTTCTACCAGAACCTTTTCTTACACCAAACTTAGATTTTCGGAGAGTAAAAATATTCCGATTGGCCGAGAACACGCGTCACGTTAGCCTCCGCGGCGGAGCCTGAACAGCAACTATGTCAAAGGAGGTGGAGTCATCATCGACGCGCCGCTTTGCGCTTCGGGCGCCGCGAGGAGGTTTGCACCCTTTCATTTTAGGTATTAGGGCTAGCTATAGTAACTGGCTGACACTACCATATCCGTAAGGCCACTCCACGTTAATTGTATACGTGTATTTTGGCCTAATTTGCGCATGCTGTGCTGTGTGTACTCATGGCTTTGTACTGGTCTCCTCTTTTTGTTTTGACTGCCTTCCCACTCTGAATTTTTGTGGTCATATTACTAATGTGGACTAATGAGTAAAACATCCTGACTTGAAAAGGCCCTGACCAGACCAGAAACCGGAATGCAACTTGGAGTGGCCTAATCAGGACTGTGCTGTTTTCCAAGATTGAGGTATATACTAAGTTAAAAGGTTTGGTAATGTAGCGAACTATTTGCTAAACATAGCAGTATTGATACTCTCAACAATAGGAAAAGACATGTTTTATAGAGCAACACTGTCAACATTCTCATACACAGGGACTGGAGCTGGTGTTTGTGTCTTGTGTGAGTTTCCCTCATTTGACAGTATCCTCATCTCATACAGTGGGTTGTTCTCCATGTTGTAGTCTGGCTCCAGTCTATCACCAGCTGAGCCTTGAACATGGACACCATAAGCAGAGTTCTCCACCACATCACACTTCTCCTGCTCTCTGTTTCTATTAGTACTACCTATGAAAAATATACAATCAAAGTTTGCTTGACAGAGAAAACTTACTGTGCCTTTTAAGCAAAACAATGAGTACAACAGATATTGTGATGACAAGAAGTGTCCCAGCAGCTGATACAGGTACCACAATCACAAGAACTGAGGAACCATCAGTAACTGGTCTTGGTGTCATACTGGGTGTATTATCCTCCACTGAATCTGTAGAGTATTGTGTTAGGTAAAATCATATTTCACAAAAAAAACTCCACCTTGATCATACTGTATCTCAAGTGGAAAGAAATCACTGTATCCTGCACAGTTGTGGGCTGAGATGTTCACTGACAGTGTAGTATTGTATATGATGTCAAAACTGTGTGTGTTCAATGTAGAAGGAATGAAGGAAGTGGTCAGAGGTTAGAAAAAAAAGGTGACTCAGACACTGACAAGTGGCTGATAAGGTGTTAATAATTCACTGTTAGTGAGAAGTAAGTCAAGCATGTTGCCATCAACAAGTTATGAGCTGAGATAGGTTACACTCAAACATAAGTCACAAAAGAGGTTATGCCACATAAGTACCTTGTATACTCCCGCTGTCGCTGTGTAGTGTGAGTTTGCCCCTCAATTATTAGCGTAAAAATCGTGCCACATAAAGTTGTCCGCTCTCTGAATTGTCAGCCTATTTAGAAATCACATATATAAAATTATGCCACATATACTCCTTGTCCACTCTCTGTTGCTGTGTTCTATAATTGTGCCCTCTGTAGAATAGAGTAGCGTAAAATTATGCCATAAGTGACTCTGGGCATAGCAAAACCATTCAAACTACACCATTCAAACTACACCTTTAGCAACGTATGAACAGTTTGGTTGCTAATATCCCTTTAGTAATCTAATATGCACTTGCCTTTGGGTTGACACGTTTCTTTCATCTACACTCTGCTGTCAGGGTTTTTTTTGCAAAATGCAGCAGTTTTTGCAAAAGAAAAAGACAAGAAAAAACTTTGCTACACTGTCAACAGTTGTATACAAAGGAACTGGACCTCGTATTTTTGTGTGTCTTGCATAAGTGTACTCTTCGTGATGACATTGCCGTATTTTTTCATGACGTGGGTGACTGTATGCTTCTTCTAATGACATGGAATGAGTTACTGTAGACACCATTTTGTTTTCGCAAAGATCTGTATATACAGCAACATAGATGCAGTGTCGCCGCCCGCTTATCTGTTTACTCTTGGCCCGCCATGCCTGGCACAATGTTTTTACTAGATGTTTTCAATACACACGTTGTGTACAAATGTATGAATGAGGAAACAGGTTATAGAGGCTTTGCACTGTCAACAGTCTCATACACAGGGACTGGAGCTGGTGTCTGTGACTTGTGTGAGTGTCCCTCATTTGACAGTATCCTCATCTCATACAGTGGGTTGTTCTCCATGTTGTAGTCTGGCTCCAGTCTTTCACCAGCTGAGCCTTGAACATGGACACCATAAGCAGAGTTCTCCACCACATCACACTTCTCCTGCTGTCTGTTTCTACTAGTACTACCTATGAAAAATATACAATCAAAGTATGCTTGACAGAGAAAGCTTACTGTGCCTTTTAAGCAAAACAAGGAGTACAATAGATATTGTGATGACAATAAGTGCCCCAGCAGCCGATACAGGTACCACAATCACAACTGAGGAACCACCAGTGACAGGCCTCAGGGTCATACTGGGTGTACTATCCTCAGAATCTGTATATTATAGTGCTAGATAACAATCATTATTTCACCAATAAACTCCACCTTCATCATACTGTATCTCAAGTGGTAAGGGATCACTGTATCCTGCACAGTTGTGGGCTGAGATGTTCACTGACAGTGTAGTATTGTACATGATGTCAAAACTGTAGGTGGGGCCTGGAGTTTCCAACTGTGTGCCGCTGTCCACTTGAATAATGTAGTGATCAATTGGAACTCCTCCTCCATCAAACATATCTCCCAGCTCTAGTACTGCTGTGAAATATGTCTCCTTCTCTTTGTATACAAAAGTTTGTGCCTTAGAGTTAGGCACATCTGAAATGATACTTATAACTAAAACTAAGTTAATTATTGTTATGTTCTGCTCACCAACCTGTAACGTAGATGGTAGCAGTCATGTTACACTCATCATTCCCAACGAAAGTGGTACAAGTGACATTTGTCCCATTTCTCACGCCAGACGTTGACACTGTTAGAGTTGATGTCATGTTTGCAAAATTCTCATCAATCCTATCGAAGACTACAGTTGAGTGGAGTATATTGTTGGTGCTATTCATTGTAAGCAGTTCTGAGTCTGCCATTAATATCGAAGCAGCATAAGTCAGATCACCCATTGTATAAGGTTCCACCTCCCATTTCATGATAGACACCTGGCTGTCACTACATGTGAATGCTGCAGATTCATTGGGACAGGAATGAAAAGACAGTGGTTGCAGAGCTGGCTCTCCAGTGCATAATCGCCTTGCAGATAGAACACGGCCCAGAATCTCACCGTGAAACAAGAGTCCAATGAATAGGAAATGGTAACCGATATTTCTTTGTCGCATTTTGCCGGATTTCTTCTACCAGATCCTTTGCTTGCACAAAACTTAGACTTACGGAGAGCCAGTTGGCGGAGAACACCGCGTCGCATTAATCCCCGCGGTGGAGCCCGCACCGCAACGATGTCAAGCCACCATCGGCACGTCAAAAGACACGCCGCCTTGCGCGGCGTAAAGCCACGCCCAGTGGCGTGTTCGCAACGCATGCGTAATTCTGCCCAAATCGACACACCCCATTCATCCGGCGCACGCGCGCTGTGGCGGTCTTTCTTTCTGCCGTTTTACAGACCAACGCACGGCGTCTGTGCCTCCTGCTGAGACATTTATGACATGTCTCACGCAATCCGGACATTGTGTTGGTGTGTTTGCTTTTCTTTTCTTTTCTCCAACCGACACATCCAAGTGCCGACCGACCACTTCTGAGGATGCGTGGGTGGTTTTTATGAGATAATGCCGCCATGCCGCCCGCTTACTGGGTCAGAATTCACAAATGTGCGAGTTTTCTTGACGTTTCTGGAAGTGTGTAAATTTACAACATTTTGTGACCGAAAGGGTTCCTATGAGAGTGGCTTACATAGTGAATCGATAAGGAAACATATATACAATGAAAAGCACTGAAGTTCAAACCCTCGGCGAACTGTGACGCACAATCGTAAGTAAACGCATGCGCCGTACCACTATGATGGGCTGGGTTTAGCTTTAGCTGTTACTCGTGGTCTCTTGCCAGCTCACGCAGAGTCTGACGCGGTCTAACTACACTACTAGATGGCATGCGAGAGGCGATACACGCCCTGCGTTGCATCTTCTGGTGACTCCGAGGTACGCAGAGCACGCTGGTCGATCATGCCGTATAAGCCGTTGTGTATTTGCATATTGGCTTTTTCGCGCTCTAGCTTTGCAACGGAGCGTTTTCAGAGAAAACCGTTCGAAATTTCTGACCTTCATTGCCCGTTCAGTAGGTGGTATCCTTTGTGAGACGAACAAACACCCGAGAAGTGAGATTGAGAGTAACAGACACACAGACACACAGACACACAGACCCAAGTACTGTAACCCTCGCTGCGCATGCGCGCCGAGGGTTAATGATTGAAATTGCAATTACTTCAGTCCATGCAACTGGTGAAACTGCAAAACAGGTGGTCTTGCACTGTCTCACTCTGCAGACACCACACCCACTGTCTAGGTGACTTAGTGTTGATGGCACCTGAGCTCTGATCCCGGCATCCGTCATGAAGTACGAAAATCCCGATTTTTACACTTGCGCGCGCTGGCGCCGTCGCGGAGCCACGCCTTCCGCCGTCGTAGCCGGCCCGCCCTCATGCCGCGCCGACAAGCACCGACTAAGCTGGCTGATCCTCGCTGTCGGCAGAGCATCAGTTAACGATTCTTGTACTCCAACCGCTGACTACCGCTATATGATGGAGTTCCGTGAGTATCATTCGGTACCAGATCCCGCCTCAGCTAGCTACAGCATGCAATCTTTGTGCCTCTGTGGAGATTTAGCTACCCATAGCCTGCTGGTGAGATTGGTGAGAATCGTTTTAGTCATTTACTGATTCTGTAGACTTGTGCGTCTTTGCCACATTCTACAGCCGATCCCGAGCGCCTCTTCATATGCTGGTATCGACACATCTCAGCTAGTAGTTTGCTCCATCTAACATTTTGAGCGCAAAGCTAAATCACGTCTGGATCAGGAGTGCTTTAAAACGGAATGCCTTTTTACACCGGATCTATTGCCGAAGCCAGAAGTGCCACAACACGGCAGCCTACGAAATAACTATTAACTTACGAAACCGTCGCGCATGCGCAAACACATTGTGGCAGGCTCTTTCCAAACAGAAAGAACGGTACTACTCTGTGCATAACACTCCAATCGGTTTCATAAAAACCTGTGCCAATTTATATCGACAGTCTTCTTTCATAGCTTGTCATTTCTTGATTACAGCTGTCTCTGCATGATGCGTGTCCGTGGCAGTCTTAGTTTCTGCAGCTATATTCTCTACATGGTATTGATAGGTTAGTGTTTATAACGTATATAGTGTCTGTCCTATGAGTTCAGAATTTATCACTGTCCAGGCAATCAGGGACAGCCAACACTGGAGCCACCAACTGGTCATTTCTGTCCCAGTGTCAACATCACTTACACTTGTCATGACAGTCAAGTAAAAGAAATGAGATGGTTTGCTGAACCTTACTTTTCAGGGAACCAAGGAATCAAATATGTACCAGGATTCACCAGTAATGAAACCATAAAGAAAGAAGACAGTTTCTACTCACAAGCTACCAGTTTCAGTGTTGATATGGGGACAACGGAGTTTGTCAGTGTGACAACTATTCTGATTGTGATCACTAGTGGCATAGAGAATGGAACAAACATCACATGTCTGACCTACAGAGGTGGAGACCAAATGGTGTCCTCTTCCGTGCTCTACTTTGCAGGTAATTATCTGAAGATTGGTAACTTTGATAGCTACAGCTACGCTTTTTAGATCTCCCTCGCTTGAAAAAAACTTCAGTGATATTATGCCCAGAGAAGAACATAGCAGTACTAGAGCTAGGAGATATGTTTGATGGAGGAGGAGTTCCAATTGATCACTACATTATTAAAGTTGACAACGGCACACAATTGGAAACTCCAGGCCCCACTTACAGTTTTGACATCATGTACAATACTACACTGTCAGTGAACATCTCAGCCCACAACTGTGCAGGATACAGTGACTTCTTTCCACTTGAGATACAATATGATGAAGGTGGAGTTTATTGGTGAAATATGATTATTATCTAGCACTATAATAATTATACAGATTCTGAGCATAGTACACCCAGTATGACCCTGAGGCCTGTCACTGGTGGTTCCTCAGTTTGTGATTGTGGTACCTGTATCAGCTGCTGGGGCACTTCTTGTCATCACAATATCTGTTGTAATCATTGTTTTGCTTAAAAGGCACAGTAAGTTTTCTCTGTCAAGCAAACTTTGATTGTATATTTTTCATAGGTAGTACTAATAGAAACAGAGAGCAGGAGAAGTGTGATGTGGTGGAGAACTCTGCTTATGGTGTCCATGTTCAAGGCTCAGCTGGTGATAGACTGGAGCCAGACTACAACATGGAGAACAACCCACTGTATGAGATGAGGATACTGTCAAATGAGAGACACTCACACAAGACACAAACACCAACTCCAGTCCCTGTGTATGAGACTGTTGACAGTGTTGCTTTTCTGTTTCTGAATACTGAATACTGCTGTATTTAGCAAAAAGTGTCATTTTGTCAAAACCTATGTCCTGATGGGCAAAACAGTAAAGTGTTGATGAAGGGGAATTTTGGACGCAAAACACATGCATATCGGATTACTATGTGATTGAGACAACTGTTGATAGCTAATGGTGTTGCCAGTGATCTTTTCCCCCCACTAAAACAAGTATGACTTTGGTTTGCCCATGTCTACGTAGTCGATTTGTGGTAAACGGGATAATCTATGTTATAGAGATCAAGAGAGAAAGTTTAGCATTCCCTTGCTGTAGGCCCTTCTTTTGTAAACTGTCTACTCAAAATCACTGTGTTTATTTTTGCAGCATACTGTAGGAAACAGAGGAATTTTCAATAACCATCACTGCAGTCCATTAACAGATCGTATGTGTTGAATACTTTGAAATGCTTTGAAGCAGTGGTGTAGCTAGGGGTTTGTGCGCTGAATTTTGAACACAGAGGTAGGGGGGGTTCTAATGTCACCAGCGCAATTTTTTCTTTGATCTTACTGCATTATATTCTTGCATCAGGGCCACTATAGTGGCCTACCCCGTGCAACATGTTATTAATCAGCCACCCTGTTACAGGGTTAAGTGGACTCAGCTTATCGAAACTTCCGACTTCAATTTCTTGTGAATGGAGCAGGTATGTATAGCTAGCTAGCCTTGACATAATTATTAAGATAACGGCAGTGCACTCCTGAAAAATATTTCTGTATTAACAGATAGCTCATCACAAGGTTTTTTGATAAGGTGAAACACCAGCTATCAAAACCATTCGTAGTTCTTGGGGTACAAAAAGTAAACATTTATTGTTGCCAGCTGTGTGCATAGTGTGGCTAAGTGTGCTGAGTTCCCTGGTTCTGCCCTTATGGTGAAGGAAAGTGTAAATAGAAGAGTTCTGATTAGTTTCCTGCAACACTACAGACACAACTACATTCACTTCCCTGACCTCAGCAACTCTACTGCTCTAGCCCTTGTCTATGAGATTGTGAGGAAACTAGTTTGGCATTTTCCTATCAGGTGTCACTAGCAAGACATGTTCTTTCATGCATAATTGTTCCTTGACTTTCATGTTTTGATATGGACATAATGAAAATGTATATTATAGCTATCCTGTTTTTGATACATCCAAAGTGAGATTTTTTTCATCCCACTGCATGCTCATCGAAAAAGAATAACGCTTCCTAAAACGGCTCTTGAACAATATTGTCCCGGACCAGTAGCAGCCCCTCCTATATAGCTATATTGTATGCGAGAGCGTCAAGACATTGAAGTTTTCAAAAAATACACTGTTTGCTAAAAATGCCAGTAGGTAAAGACAAGGAAAACCTTTTCATAAAGCTACACTGTCAAAGGTCTCATACAAAGGAACTGGATCTGGCGTTTGTGTGTCTTGTGTGAGTGTACTCTTGGTGATGATATTGCCGTATTTTTTCGTGCCATGAGTGACTGTCTGCTTCTGCTAATTAGGTGGAAAGAGTGACTGTAAACAGTTCTAAAAAGATCTAAAAAGCGTAGCTGTAGCTATCAAAGTTACCAATCTTCAGATAATTACCTGCAAAGTAGAGCACGGAAGAGGATACCATTTGGTCTCCACCTCTGTAGGTCAGACATGTGATGTTTGTTCCATTCTCTATGCCACTAGTGATCACAATCAGAATAGTTGTCACACTGACAAACTCCGTTGTCCCCATATCAACACTTAAACTGGTAGCTTGTGAGTAGAAACTGTCTTCTTTCTTTATGGTTTCATTACTGGTGAATCCTGGTACATATTTGATTCCTTGGTTACCTGAAAAGTAAGGTTCAGCAAACCATCTCATTTCTTTTACTTGACTGTCATGACAAGTGTAAGTGATGTTGACACTGGGACAGAAATGACCAGTTGGTGGCTCCAGTGTTGGCTGTCCCTGATTGCCTGGACAGTGATAAATTCTGAACTCATAGGACAGACACTATATACGTTATAAACACTAACCTATCAATACCATGTAGAGAATATAGCTGCAGAAACTAAGACTGCCACGGACACGCATCATGCAGAGACAGCTGTAATCAAGAAATGACAAGCTATGAAAGAAGACTGTCGATATAAATTGGCACAGGTTTTTATGAAACCGATTGGAGTGTTATGCACAGAGTAGTACCGTTCTTTCTGTTTGGAAAGAGCCTGCCACAATGTGTTTGCGCATGCGCGAGGTATTCCGTAAGTAATAGTTATTTCGTAGGCTTCGTGTTGTGGCACTTCTGGCTTGGGCAATTAGATCCGGTGTAACAAGTTCATTTGTTTTAAAGCACTCCTGATCCAGATCGTGATTTATCTTTGCGCTCAAAATGTTAGATGGAAGCAAACTACTTCGCTGAGATGTGTCGACTACCAATCATACTGAAGAGGCGCTCGGGATCGGCTGTAGAATGTGGCAAAACGAGCAAAGTCTTACAGAATCCAGTTAAATGACTAAAACGATTCTCACCAATCTCACCAGCAGGCTTGAGTAAATCTCCAACAGAGGCACAAAAAGATTTGCATGCTGGTAGCTAGCTGGGGCGGGATCTGGTAACGAATGATACTCACGGAACTCCATCAGTATAGCGTGTAAGTCAGCTGTTGGAGTAAAAGAATCGTGTAACTGATGCTGCCGATAGCGAGGATCAAGCAAGCTTAGGTCGTTGATTGTCCGGCGCGGCATGAGGGCGGGCCGGCTACGACGGCGGAAGGCGTGGCTCCGCGACGGCGCCAGCGCGCGCAAGTGTAAAAAAGCGGGATTTTCGTACTTCATGACGGATGCCGGGATCAGAGCTCAGGTGCCATCAACGCTAAGTCACCGAGACAGTGGGTGTGGTGTCTGCAGAGTGAGGCAGTGCAAGACCACCTGTTTTGCAGTTTCACCAGTTGCATGGACTGAAGTAATTGCAATTTCAATCATTGTATATTCCTTATCGCTTGAACTCATTCACTATGTAAGCCACTCTCATAGGAACCCTTTCGGTCACAAAATGTTGTAAATTTACACACTTCCAGAAACGTCAAGAAAACTCGCACATTTGTGAATTCTGACCCAGTAAGCGGGCGGCATGGCGGCATTATCTCATAAAAACCACCCACGCATCCTCAGAAGTGGTCGGTCGGCACTTGGATGTGTCGGTTGGAGAAAAGGGAAAAAAAGCAACAATGTCCGGATTGCGTGAGACATGTCATAAATGTCTCAGCAGGAGGCACAGAGGCCGTGCGTTGGTCTGTAAAACGGCAGAAAGAAAGACCGCCACAGCGCGCGTGCGCTGGATGAATGGGGTGTGTCGATTTGGGCAGAAATACGCATGCGTAAAGCCACGCCACTGGGCGTGGCTTTACGCCTTAAACGTGTAGTCCGCGTATAAAAAGGGGCGTGCCAGGCAAAAATCGATTAACTTTAGCGCACACCGTGACAAAATGGCGGTGTTCAAACTACTGTCTCTTCACTTCCTGAGCCGCTGGCTACCACGCATCCGTTTCCACGCACTAAAACACGCTGCGTTTGTCCTAATAAAAGCCTCTCAATGCTAAATCAGCGCTTCTTGCGCTAATTGCACATGAATGCGCTGAACAGCGCTTCTTGTGCTACTCGCACATGAATGTCTGAACCTCCAGCGGCCAAGAACCTGAGGGCCGGCGGCCCACGTTTGACTCTCCAGCTAACGTTTGGCAACACTGACACAATGGTAGCGTTCAAGGAGCGAATGGAAGCTCTAAGGTCCGCTCTTGCTCCTGCGGGAGCACCTCCATTGAAGCCGGTCGAGCTAATGGCGAAGCTCTTTGACATAGCTCATATTAATTATCTTGTTCTTTCCATCAGCAGAGTCCTGAGGAACTAGCCCTAGCCCTAGCCCTCAGCAGAGTCCTGAGGAACAGGAGGAAGACTGCTTGCACGCACTTCACTATACATATTATATACACGTGTCACGCGCGTACGCACATTTTATTACCAATCCGTGTTACGCACCGCAGCTATGTTGTTCCAGCGTTGCGCTAGCGGTACAAACGAAGGCTCCATACACTTGCCTTCTGGTACGTTTTTGAATTTTACCGCCGCCATGTTTGTGCCAGGCACCGCCCCTTTCATACGCAAGCGCACGGAAGCGACTCCGCCTCTGCAATTGCGCGAGCTGTGAGCGCGCAAGAAGCGCTTAGCAGATACACGTTTAAGCGCAAGGCGGCGTGTCTTTTGACGTGCCGATGGTGGCTTGACATCGTTGCGGTGCGGGCTCCACCGCGGGGGTTAATGCGACGCGGTGTTCTCCGCCAACTGGCTCTCCGTAAGTCTAAGTTTTGTGCAAGCAAAGGATCTGGTAGAAGAAATCCGGCAAAATGCGACAAAGAAATATCGGTTACCATTTCCTATTCATTGGACTCTTGTTTCACGGTGAGATTCTGGGCCGTGTTCTATCTGCAAGGCGATTATGCACTGGAGAGCCAGCTCTGCAACCACTGTCTTTTCATTCCTGTCCCAATGAATCTGCAACATTCACATGTAGTGACAGCCAGGTGTCTATCATGAAATGGGAGGTGGAACCTTATACAACGATAGATGGTGATCTGTCTTATGCTGCTTCGATATTAATGGCAGACTCAGAACTGCTTACAATGAATAGCACCAACAATATACTCCACTCAACTGTAGTCTTCGATAGGATTGATGAGAATTTTGCAAACATGACATCAACTCTAACAGTGGCAACGTCTGGCGTGAGAAATGGAACAAATGTCACTTGTACCACTTTCAGTTGGGAATGATGAGTGTAACATGACTGCTACCATCTATGTTACAGGTTGGTGAGCAGAACATAGAGGTAATGCTTTGGGTTTTAGTGATTATTATCATCTTTCAGATGTGCCTAATTCTAAGGCAGAAGTTGGTGTATACCAAGAGAAGGAGACATATTTCACAGCAGTACTAGAGCTGGGAGATATGTTTGATGGAGGAGGAGTTCCAATTGATCACTACATTATTCAAGTGGACAACGGCACACAGTTGGAAACTCCAGGCCCCACTTACAGTTTTGACATCATGTACAATACTACACTGTCAGTGAACATCTCAGCCCACAACTGTGCAGGATACAGTGATCTCTTTCCACTTGAGATACAGTATGATCAAGGTGGAGTTTATTGGTGAAATATGATTTTACCTAACACCATACTCTACAGATTCAGTGGAGGATAGTACACCCAGTATGACACCAAGACCAGTCACTGATGGTTCCTCAGTTCTTGTGATTGTGGTACCTGTATCAGCTGCTGGGGCACTTCTTGTCATCACAATATCTGTTGTACTCATTGTTTTGCTTAAAAGGACATGTAAGTTGCCATCATTGTCAAAGTGTTGATTATGTGTTAAATTCATAGGTAGTACTAATAAAAACAGACAGCAGGAGAAGTGTGATGTGGTGGAGAACTCTGCTTATGGTGTCCATGTTCAAGGCTCAGCTGGTGATAGACTGGAGCCAGACTACAACATGGAGAACAACCCACTGTATGAGATGAGGATACTGTCAAATGAGGGACACTCACACAAGACACAAACACCAGCTCCAGTCCCTGTGTATGAGACTGTTGATAATGCAAAGCCTCTTTAACCTGTTTCCTCGTTTATACATTTGTACACAACGCATTGTGTATTGGAAACATCCACTCAAAACACCAGCGCCAGGGCTGACCAAGAGTAAACAGACAAGCGGGCTGCAAAAATGCAACTAAGTAGATGTATTATACATATCCTTGTGAAAACAAAAATATACCTACAGCTACTCATGCCACGTATAATTAGCAGAAGCATACAGTCATTCACGACATGAAAAAATTCAGCAATGTCATCACCAAGAGTACACTCATACAAGACACACAAACAAATCATTTTCTTGTCTTTTCCATTTTAAAAAACTGCTGAGTGTATTGATGAAGGAAATGTGTCAACCCAAACGCAAGTGCACATTAGATTACCAAAGGGAGATTAGCAACCAAACTGTTCATACGTAGGTATATAATTATGGGTCAAGGCTAGCTAGACTAGCTCCATTCACAAGCAATTATTGAAGTCTGAGGTTTCGATAAGCTGAGTCTACTCAACCCTGTTTCAGGATGTGTGAGTGATTAACACGTTGCACATGGTAGGCCACTGTAGTGGCCCTCAGGCATGAATAAATTAACCCTCGGCGCGCATGCGCAGCGAGGGTTACTGTACTTGGTTTGTGTGTCTGTGTGTCTGTGTGTCCGTTCACGTTTTCTGCCACTAGACGCAACAAGATCGCCAAAAACTCTACAGCAACGGGTTCGGCGCTACATTTGCTTCATTTTAAAACTGGCGATTTTCGTAAAAACACAGCGTTCAAAAGTTATGGCGTGAAAAGCAAGTGAACAAGCCAATATGCAAATTAGCACGGGCTTACCTCGACAAGATGTGCTTGATCTGCGTACCTTGGAGGCACAAGACGTCACAACGAAGGGCGTGTATCGACTCCCGCATGCTATCTACTACTGTAGCTAGCCCGTGTCAGACTCTCCGTGTGCTACTAGCGGGAGACCACGAGTAAACGCATACTACGGCCCAGCCCATCAATTAGCGGTATCGCGCAAGCGCAGTTCGCCGAGGGTTTGCACTTCAGTGTAAATGTCAAACTATTACGCAATGTTACGATAGTATGGATAAGATGAACGGTAGTGACTTACGGCAGCAAACAAACGATCACTTGATGACCGTGCACACCTGTGCATACACGGATATGGTAGTGTCAACCAGTGACTATAGCTAGCATTAGGTAAAATGAAAGGGTGCAAAACTCCTCGCGGCGGCTTTACCCGTAGCGCAAAGCGGCGTGACTTTAGGCCATAGTTGACAACCGTCCGGGAATGGCCGGGACAGTCCAGGAAAAATGGGGTTTCTCCCGGGAGAGGCAAAAGAGCAAAATGTCCCGGAATTTTCTGGCTAGCCAGCGCTTCCACTTGCGTAAGATGACCTCTTCAGATCTCAAGCAGTAACTTTAGTCACAGTTTCTTGGTAAGTTTGGCTCTCCGTGCGAGGCTAAGCGCTGCTATGTGTCAGCACGAGGAGCTTCGAGCATACGCGCACACGAAGATGGTTACTCACGCGCGCGTTATATTACGTAATAAGTAGGCGTGGCACATTTATAAGGGGGCGGGGTCGCGATGTTATGTTCGATGATGACTCTACCTCCTTTTACATTGTTGAGGTGCGGGCTCCGCCCGGGAGGCTCACGCGACGCGGTTTTCTCGGCCAAACGAAACATTTTTTACTCTCAGATAATCGAAGTTTGGTGTAAGCAAAGGTTCTGGTAGAAAAAAATCCAGCCAAATGCGACAGAGAAATATCGGTTACCATATCCTATTCATTGGACTCTTGTTGCAGGGTCAGATTCTGGACGGTGTTCTATCTGCTATCTACATAAGGCGATTATGTACTGGAGAGCCAGCTCTGAAACCACTGTCTTTTCATTCCTGTCCCAATGAATCTGCAACATTCACATGTAGTGACAGCCAGGTGTCTGTCATGAAATGGGAGGTGGAACCTTATACAACGAGAGATGGTGATTTGACTTATATTGCTTCAGTAATAATGGCTGACCCAGGACTGCTTACAATGAATAGTACCGACAATGTACTCCACTCAACTGTAGTCTTCGATAGGATTGATGAGAATTTTGCAAACATGACATCAACTCTAACAGTGGCAACGTCTGGCGTGAGAAATGGAACAAATGTCACTTGTATCACTTTAGTTAGGAATGATGAGTGTAACATGACTGCTACCATCTATGTTGCAGGTTGGTGAGCAGAACCAGAGGTAGGCTTTCGGTAATCTTGTGATGAATTATTCATCATTTTCAGATGTGCCTAAATCTATTAAAGCAGAAGGTGTTGTAAACCAAGAGAAGAAGGCATACTTCACAGCAGTACTAGAGCTAGGAGATATGTTTGATGGAGGAGGAGTTCCAATTGATCACTACATTATTCAAGTGGACAACGGCACACGGTTGGAGACTCCAGGCCCCACATACAGTTTTGACATCATGTACAATACTACACTGTCAGTGAACATCTCAGCCCACAACTGTGGAGGATATAGTGATCCCTTTCCACTTGAGATACAGTATGATCAAGGTGGAGTCTTTTTGTGAAACATGATTTTAGCTAACACACACACAATACTCTACAGATTCAGTGGAGGATAGTACACCCAGTATCACACCAAGATCCATCACTGATGTTTCCTCAGTTCTTGTGATTGTGGTATATACCTGTATCAGCTGCTGGGACACTTCTTGTCATCACAGTATCTGTTGTACTCGTTGGTCTCACTGTTTTGCTTAAGAGGCGCAGTGAGTTGTCTCTGTCAAGCAAGGTTTGATTGCACAATTTTATTTTTTTAGGTAGTTCTAATAAAAACAGACAGCAGGAGAAGTGTGATGTGGTGGAGAACTCTGCTTATGGTGTCCATGTTCAAGGCTCAGCTGGTGATAGACTGGAGCCAGACTACAACATGGAGAACAACCCACGTATGAGATGAGGATACTGTCAAATGAGAGACACTCACAGAAGACACAAACACCAGCTCCAGTCCCTGTGTATGAGACTGTTGACAGTGTGGCTTTATAAACTGTGTTTCCTTGTCTTTTCCGTTTTCAAATGCTGCTGTATTTAGCAAGCAGTGTGATTTTGTCAAAACATGTAGTGACGCAAAACAGCAGAGTGATGATGAAGGGGATTTTGCGATGCATGGCGTGCATATCGGATTACTGTAGCCTGTGATCTTCTTCCCCCACTACAGCAAGTATGTCATCAATGACTTTTGTTTGCCGTTGGCTAGGAAGTCAATTTGTGGTAGATGGGATAAACTGTTTTTTAGAGATGAAGAGAGAAAGCTTAGAATTCTTTTGCTGTACGATATTAGGCCCTCATTTTGTCAATTACTGTCTACTCAAAATGACTATGTTCAGCTTATCGAAACTTTCAACTTCAATTTCTTGTGAATGGAGCTGGTCTGTATAGCTAGCTAGCCTTGACATAATTATTAAGATAACGCAGGCACGCCCCTGCCAACATATATTCTCGTATAACACAGGAGAAAGGTTAGCATCCCTTGCTGTAGGCCCGTCTTTTGTAAACTGTCTACTCAAAATCATTGTGTTATATGCAGCATGCTGTAGGAAACACAGGAATTTTCAATAACCATCACTGCAGTCCATTGCATGTGTTATAGCAGATCGTATGTGTTGAATACTTTGAAATGATTTGAAGCAGTGGTGTAGCTAGGGGTTTGTGCGCTGACTTTTGAACTCAGAGGTAGGGTGATCTAATGTCACCCGCGCAATTTTTTTCTTTTATTCTTACAGCATTAATATTATTCATGCATCAGGGTCACTATAGTGGCCTACCATGTGCAACATGTTAATTAATCAGCCTCCTGTTACAGGGTTAAGTGGACTCAGCTAATCGAACATTCCTTAGCGACTTCAATTTAATCTGTGAGATGGAGCAGGTCTGTATAGCTAGCTAGGTCCTGACATAATGATTAGATACGGACAGTGCACCCCTGGCAAAATATTTCAGTATAGCAACAGATCGCTCATCACAGGTTCTTGGTAAGGTGAAACACCAGCCTCAAACCATGCATAGTGTTTGGGTACAAACAGATAACATTAATTGTTGCTAGCGGTGTGCATAGTGTGGCTAAGTGCTGAGTTCCCTGGTTCTACCCTTATATGGCGAAGGAAGTGTAATAGAAGAGTGCATGTTAGTTCACACTCGACAGACAGACAACCACATCACTTCCCTGACACTCGCACACTCTACAGCTCTAGCCCTTGTATGTGAGATTGTGTGATCAAGGCGGATGGTTTATTAACCCTTGGACGGCCATGGGGAGGAATCGCCTTAAATTATGTATATCATATTAAAACGCCCGAAGTATTTAAGCCCATGAAATATAAAATTCTTTATGGAATACTTATGGAGGGCTCTGGCACATATATATGCGCACGCGGCTTATGAGAGAGAGGGTTAGGCAGCCAATCAGGGGAACAATTAGGCATTTTCCAATCAGTTCGTGTCATAGCGGGACATGTTTCACACATCGATGTTTTTTGTCACTTTAATGTTTTGACTTATTGATATAGCTAATTAATATGCATGTTGATAGCTATCCTGCTTTTAGGGAAATCCAAATTTTTTGTTACACCCCAATGGTGGCTATCAACCAACAACGCGAGTAACGCTTCTCTAAAAGGCAGCTCTTGAAAAATTTGTTCACCGGACCAGTAAAGCAAGCCCCCCTCCATATCTTAGGTTATATGTAAGGCAGCTTCTAGTGTCAGGGACAATGAAGTAGTTGACCTAAATTACACGGGTTTGACTGTTAAAAACGCACTAAAAGTAGAGGCGTTAGGTATTATAAAAGAAGAAAGGAAAACCTTCAATTATAAAGCTAAAATGGTAGAACAGTCTGCATACACCGGGACTGGAGCTGGCGTTCGTTGTGTCTTGTGTGAGTGTACTCTGGTCGTATTTTTTCGGTTGTCTCCTCATAACTAATAGTGACTGTCT